GGGACATCCCAGTGCCTCCCAGAGCTTCCCAGTACCACCCTAGTTTTCTCCCGGGGATAGCTCAGTGTCTCCCAGAGCTCCCCAGTACCACCCCAGTGCTCCCTGGTGCTGCCCAGCAGCACCCAAGGGAGGAGACCAGAGGCAGGGCTGGTGGTGCAGCTGTTTATTGGGAGGGTCAGAGCTTCTGCCTGGGCCAGAGGCCACCCTAAGGCCCGTAGGTGTAGTCCCGGTCCCCACTCTCCCAGACCACCAGCTCGTTCCGCTGAAACCAGAAGCCGATTTCCCTCTGGGCCGTCTCCACGGAGTCGCTGGCGTGGACCACATTCCTGCACGGGGTCGGGGATGGTACCGTGGCTGTGGGGTCCCACCACCGGCCCCACAGTCACCCTGTGCCTCTACCTGCTGACGTGCATGCTGAAGTCTCCCCGGATGGTGCCCGCTGCCGCTGTCGCAGAGTTTGTATCCCCCACCATGGCCCGTGTGGACTTGACCACATTGTAGCCTTCCCACACCTGTGGGACAGGGAACACCTGAGCCCCACAGACCCCTCTTGGGACCCCTAAACTCCCCCATCCCGGCTCCTTACCATGGCCACCAGCGGCCCTGAGGTCATGTAGGCGAGGAGCTCAGGGTAAAAGGGCTTCTGCCGCAGCTGCTGGTAGTGCTTGTCCAGGAGACCCTGGTCCGCCTGATGGCAGCACAGGGTGACGGTGGGGACACCTGGCTGGTGCCCTACGCTGACAACCCCTGAGCTGTCCGCAGGGTGCAGGGAGCAGGCTCCCCTGGGGGGACGGGTGGCAGCTCGGTGGGGACGGGTACCTGAAGCAGCTTCATGGCCACCAGCTTGAAGCCGCGCCGCTCGAAGCGCTGGATGACATTCCCTACCAGTCTTCGCTGCACCGCGTCCGGCTTCACCAGCACCAGCGTCTTCTCCTGCAGCTCTGGGGGTGCTGTGCGGAGATGGAGGGACCAGCGTCACCACCAGATGTGGGACACAGGTTGTGGCAGTGGGACACCGTGGGTTGCTGCGGGGTGACCCTGTCTCCATCCCTGTCCCCAGTCCTCCTGACTGGGCTGTGCCTCGCAGGCTGGAAGGGTCCAGGAGGGCTGCAAAGCCATGATGGGTGCTGGGGACACATCTATGACTGGGAAACACCCTTCAACTCAGAGTGGGATGGACTGGTTCTGGTTTTGGCACCACACTGCTACATCCTAGTGCCACAGTTACTGGTGCCACCACATGTGCCATTGCTCCTGCCTGGTCTTGAGTGCACAGGCAGTTGGACATCAGCCCTGGCATAAAATGGGTTCCTGGTCACAGCCCTCCATAGGTGAAAAGCAAAAACTCAGCACCATTGGATGGCAGGGTCCAGTGTCACTGTCACCTGTAGCACTATGGGACAAGCAGGTCTGGCATCACTGCCACCTTCACCCCACTGCTGGCCTTCCCGGAGCCACACTGGCTGGAGCAGACAAGACTCCCCCAAGGGATGATGTGTCCAGTCTGCTGCAGGAGCAGGAAAGAGGAGCCAAGCCCAGGCGCTTCTCTGCCAGCCCCAGGCTTTGGGGTCCTGTCCAGGCTGTGAGGGCAGGCTGGCCCTGTGCCAGCGGGGACAGACCCCAGGATTTCATCCACTTTTCTGGGCACTGCTGGAGGTGACCTGGCTTTAGCTGGGTCACACCCCCAAAATGGCATGAGGGTCACCTCATCCCAGCCCTGGGGCCACCAAATCCCTCAGGACCCACAGGACGGTGCTGGGGGAGCCACCAGCTCCAGCCTCTGCCCCATTGCAACACATGGAAGGGACAGGAGACCCTGGCACTCATCCACACCACAAAGAAGTGAAGGACCCAATGAGCCGGACACTCCACCTGGGTGGCTGCCCCTGGGACAGGGCGCTGGGGGACTGGGGGCACTGGGAGGGGATGGGGCAGTGGGTACCAGGAGGACAGGATGGGGGTGGGAGCTCTGAGGGGCAGGACACGCAGGGGTCTGAAGGCAGGATGGGGATGGGGACAGGGTCCCCAGGGGTAGGATAAGGGTGGGGACAGGTTCCCCAGGGGCAGGACAGGGATGGGGATGAGGTCTCCAGAGGCAGAGTAGGAAAGCAACTGAGAGCAGGATGGGGATGAGGACAGGAATCTCTGGGGCAGGACAGGGATGGAGACAGGGTCCCTAGGGGTGGGACAAGGATGGGGACAGGGTGTCAAGGGCCAAGACAGAGAAGGGGTTGAAAGCAGCATGGGGATGGGGACAGGGTCCTCTGGGGCAGAACAGGGATGGGGACAGGGTCCCCAGGGACAGGATGGGGAAGAGGACAGAGGCAGGACG